CCGCGGGGCCTGGGGCGCGGGGTGCGCGGCGCCACGTCGCAAACCGGCAGAAAACTTCGGGGGTTGCGTCGCTGCTGCCCGGAAAGTCGGGGAGGGCTTTCCTGGGCACTCTCGCCAAAGGTCTCCGCAAGGAAACCGTATGCGCGTCTAAAACTTAAGACGAGCGTAATGGCAGCTTAAGAGGGGGCGGGCGCAACCCTGGCCGCCCTTGGCAGGGAAAACCCTCTTGCTGCCGTATCAGTGCGGAGCTCCCGGTGGAGAGCTGCAAATAAACACGCCTTTTCCCAAGGATTTCACCCGTTCTTGGAGCGCTCCCTGAAAGACCACAGCTCCCCCTGAGCAGACTGCCCTACTGCAAGTTGAGCAGATGGCTCTCCCAAGCATTAGAAACGCTCAAAGGCCTAGTCCCTAATACGGGCTAGAGGCTGAATGCAGTTGTTACGCACTTAGTCCTAGGGGAGTTAAAAGCATTTGAGACTAATGAAGGTACACAGAAACGTATCATATTTGTATAAAGTAAATACAGGCGTATTAGTTTCTTCCCGAAAGTGTTAAAAGACTATCTTTGTTCCGCGGTTTTCCTGTGAGGTAGATTACGGTTATTTTATGGAGGGGAGAAAATGGTCAGCATTGAAAGTCGCCCTGTAATCTTAACTGTAGCTACAGGAGTGGTCACTGCGTACTACAAACGCACACGTATATAAACCTCCACTCTCACCGCGTTTCACCATGGCAAAATGGACACATGGCATCCCTTCTTCTTCTTCTTTTTTTTTTTTTGTCTTTACGTGACTGCTAATTTTCCTGACCCTAGCGGCCCTCCAAGGGGCAGAATAACGCCACTGCTCCTCCAATTACTGTTATTACCGCAGGAACTTTCCTGCAGGAGGAGCGTGCACTGTACACAAAGCCGCAGCATCAGGTGCTTTGGTAGGATTAACGTTTTCTGGTTTTCTTTTTCTTTCTTTCTTTTTCTTTCTTTCTTTTTTTTTCCTCGTCATGAAATAGTAATCCCATCACAGGAATCTGGGTTCGCTCAGGAGAAAAAGGCATCCTTCTCTTCACTTCTCACCACCGAAGACTAGGCCTGCTCCTCGTCCCCTCGAGCTCAGCGACAGTTTCGCGGTTGCCTTGAGCGGCAGTGGGCTGGCGGGGACACCTCGTAGCCCGCCCGCCTTTTCGGGGTGAACCAGCCCTTGAAGTCACCGTGCGGCCAAAGGGGATTTGCACGCCCGAGGCGGGCGGGATCGGGCCCGCGGCGTTTGGCGGAGGTGTTTTCCTGAGCTGATGAGTTGCCGCCCTTTCGGGGGCAAAACCCGCGAAGCTGCTGTAACTGCTGAGTGATGTATTAAAAATACAATCGATAGGGATAGGAGAGGCGGAGGGCGGGGGCGGGGAGAGGTTATTGCAGAAAGACGCCTTTGCGCTTGCATGGCCAAACGAAGATACAAGGAGTAAACCACGAGATAAGTGACATACATTTTGCGCGATATTACCTACCCGGAGAGCTAGCGGTATTTTCTTTCTGAAATCTGATTTTAAGATCTCGAAAGACCTCCTGGAAAATAAATGAGACGAACCGGTTTGAGGCCACCTTTTCGGGACCGCTCCCGTGAACCCTGCGAGCAGGCGGACCCCAGAGAGAAGCATGCTCAATCCCTAGGAATTTGGGTAGCCGCCTTTGGACGGGGATAGCCCCCCTTCGCAGCCCCTCCTGTGCCAGCAAGTCGCTGCCAGGGCTGACCCTGCCCCTTCCTCTCCCGGGGCGCGGGCAGCAGGCGGC